AAAATAAATTATAACAACAAAATAATTTTATTTTCCTTGTTACTAAAACTAGAAAAATAAAATACCAAGATTGCTGCCTTAAAGCTTTGAGGTTCATTTTCTAACAAGTATGTCAGAAAATCTGGACCAAAGGATTTTGATGTTCTCGCTCTCTTACTTCGTCTTGGTTCATCCTTAGTTAAATCCTGTTGGTCGAGACTATTGCTAGTCTCTTGTGTTTGATTGTCATTAGTCTTTTGACTTTGTGTACAATCATAAGTTCTTTTCTGTAAACTTAATTCCTGTCCTTTCTTGTAAGGAAAGACATGTTCAAAAAACACAGCATTCCTTGATTCTATAATAGTGTTCACATTTATATCAGGTATTTCTGATTTATAAGTCAGAAACCGATATGCACTACTATTCTGAGCATAACCAATAAACACACAATCTACTGTTTTTGGTCCAATTTTAGTCTTTTTAGGAACAGGTACTTCAACTTTTGCCAAACACCCCCACACTTTTAAGTATTTGTAGGAAGATGGTCGACCTTTCCACAATTCATAGGGAATGCTTTTGGTTTTCTTGTGGGGTATTCTATTAAGAACATAATTAGCAGACAATATTGCTTCCCCCCACAAGTTCTGTGATAAGCCTGAATTTAGTAACATGGCATTCATCATTTCTTTTAGGGTTCTATTCTTCCTTTCAACAATTCCGTTTTGCTGTGGAGAATAAGGGGCTGTAGTTTGGTGAATAATGCCATGCTGTGCACAAAATTCATTTAATGGTGCATCATGTTCACCACCCTATCACTTCTAACCATTTTAATGGTTTTACCAAGTTGATTTTCAACTTCTGTTTTGTAGAGTTTAAATATTTCTAAGGCTTCATCTTTACTTCTAAGTAAATAAACATAACAATATCTTGTGCAATCATCGATAAAAGTTATGAAATACTTTTTGTCTCCTCTAGTTTGAATAAATTTTAGATCACATACATCAGTATGAATTAATTCTAGAGGTTCGGTTTTCCTTTCAACCGATTTAAATGGAGCCTTAGTTAGTTTTGCTTCTACACAAATTTCACATTTATGATTAGGATTAATTTCAAACTTTGGTATATAATCTAAACCAATTAATCTACGCAAAGTATCAAAATTCACATGTCCTAATCTACCATGCCATAAATTTGATTCAAGAATATAAACAAAAGATGTGTTATTCTTATTCATAGCAACTTTCGGTACAACTGTCATTACATTCAACTTAAAGAGACCATCACTCATGTATCCCTTACCAATATACATACCGCTCTTTGTTAATACAAATTTATCAGACTCAAATACAAGCCTAAAACCATTTTTACTTAACAAAGACCCAGAAACTAAATTCTTCCGGATGTCAGGTACATACAGTACGTTATTGAGGGTTAGTTCTTTCCCTGATGTCATCTTCAAGATCACTTTCCCTTGTCCAGCCACAGTAGAAGTAGAAGAATTTTCCATGAAAAGTTGTTCACCATTTGCAGCCTCATTGTAGGTAGTGAACATCTTCTTGTCCGCACATATGTGACGAGTTGCTCCAGTGTCAACCCACCACTCTTTGGGATTTCCAACCAAGTTAGCCTCATATACCACAACAGAAAGGTTGATGTCATTCACTCCGTCAGAGATGTAATCCAATTCTGTTACATTGGCCTGATTGGTGGTCTTCTTACTTGTACTTCTATGATCTTTGTTAGGGCGGCGGCAGTCAGAAGCTCGATGTCCAGTTTTGCCACAGTTATAGCTTTTTCCTTTGAACTTCTTGCTACTATCGCCTTGTTTAGGACTATCTCCAGTAAACTTTCTCTT